TCTGGGAGGCCAAACCCACGACCACTACAAAAGAGGCAGACAGTTATGACGAAAACTTATTGACGACTCAGAAAATTCGTTGAAAAAGATCCCTAATTCCGATGAAAAACAATTTCCGTCTGTAATACTGAAATTATTACTGATAGAGGTGAATTTTTGTCTATAATTGTATTTTTTGTCTATAATTGCACACTCATTATTTGACGACTTCATTTTTCGTGTTAGAAATAATCATCATTACTAACCAACAAAAAAATGTCGTCAACAAAAATAATTATTATTGATGAAAAAACATCGATTGTCAAAAAAATATATTAATTTTGACGAAATAAACTGCTCGTCAACACTAATTGGTCAGAAAAAATTAATTTTGACTACATTAAAAGTTTGTCAGTACTAATTGGTCAGAAAAAACATTTCGTATGCCATTAAACATTTCGTCGGTATTGTTTGGTCAGGAAAAAATATTTTTGACCACTTAGAAATTTCGTCAGTATTGTTTGGTCAGGAAAAAAGCATTTTTGACAACATAAAAATTTCGTTAGTACGGTTTGGTCAGAAAAAAACATTTTTGACGCCATAAACATTTCGTCAGTACTATTTGGTCAGGAAAATATATTTTTTACGCCGTAAGAATTTCGTCAGTGCAGTTTGGTCACGAAAAAATCATTTTTGATGCCATAAACATGTCGTCAGCATTAAATGGCCAGAACAAATAAGTTTTGTATGCCATACCAATGCAGTCAAAAGCGTGATTTTACCTAAAAGCGTAAAATGGGTAAAATCGAAATGCTGTGAATCATAGCGTAAAAGCGCAAGTTTTTGATGCATCTTATATAATAGTTAAAAATATATTAATTACAACATAAACTATGTAAAATATGAGTGCACAGAGTTTAAATAAAAGAATAGATACCTGCATCTCAAGACGATAGTGCATCACAAATAATTATATTCCTGAATTTTAATAAACTTTTTTTTTTAATTCCATCTTCGAATCATAATTTATAAATATAAAGCAGGGATATGATACTAAGAAGCAGATTTCTCTAACTCAATTCATATTATCATCTCTAAACTGAAGAAAATCTTTACTTTTAACATCTCAATGTGAGTTCGATTTTTAGCGTACATGACTCCTCCATATCTAATCAACATTTTTCCGCTTGGTATGCATTAGTTTTTCGTTCATATCGATTGCTTTGTTGTTGGCAACGTTCTGCATGCTGAGATATTGTCTAATGGAACTTGTCCTGTCAAAATTAAAAAAAATGAAGTCGTGAAGTGCTTCAAATGAATGGTTTATCGAGTCTATATCAGGAGCACTTGATCACATTTTCCATGGAAAGGCTCATAAATGGATAGAGCATTTAGTAGTTTTGTGTGGTTCTGATCGTCAACTGGAGAACTATGTTGCAGGTTTCAATGATAAAAGGAAGCAAATGGGTAAAAGTAGCTTTGAAGTATCTCATAATTATTTGAAGAATTCACTCCTAGAAGCAACATAACTAATAAACTAACAATACAATTTACAAGGAAAAGATGGATAATACGTAGATTACCTTCTTGACAGCCAAGCTAATAAACTAACTCTGAGATGTTTTCCCAGGATTTTCACGGAGACACTAAAAAATTGTTAGATCTTTTAGCCGCTCTCATTGAGCCCTTTCACCCTCTGTTGTTCGCTAGAAGACGAGCGACGGCGCCGGAGTTTGCTGGAAGAAGGCGGCGGCGGATGGTTTTCGTCGAGAAGGGACTGGAGATTGGAGAGAATTAGGGTTTCACAATAGCCACCCCCTTCCCCTTCTTTGGCAGCCGCAGCCCGATCGCCACCCACTTCCCCCTTATTTTTTGTTCGAATTGATAAAAACTGCGCCGTTTTGATGAGCGGAGACAGTTTTCTCATTTTCTTGGAATCGTACAAAAACGGTATGAAAACGCGTTTTTATCCGATTTTACTTACAATTTTGATCAATTTTGAGTAAAAAACGATTTTATTAGTGATTTGAAACGTTTTCCTACCCTAAAAACGTAAAATCGTATGATTGTACGCTTTAAAGCGCGATTTTGACTGCACTGTGCCATACACAATTCTTCAGTACTGTTTGGTTACAAAATGGAAACCTTTCTTACAAAATGAGTTACCCTAGACGTTTTTTCTCTTCCGAGGAAATTATTGGGAGGCAGTTATGAAAATTGGACAAGAATCACATTTTCTAGAAATGATTATTGAATCGATCAAAAAACACATCTTCTTTAAGTAATTATAATAACCGCTGCTTTATAAAAAATAGAAATTAGGTAATATATCCCGATCTACAAAGACCAAATTAGTCCTTTTCTTCGAACAATGCTCTAGTCCAGTTTATGAGATCATCTCCCTCGTTTTGGAGTACAACTCGAAGTTCTTCAGTATAACGAAGCTCGATGATATCGGTAAGAATGTCATAGTAAGGAATTCCACCATCGTTCTCCCTCTCACCATCACACCACTGTTTTGACTGCTTTTGATAATTAACTAAGGAGTATGAGTGTGAAATATGAATCCATTGATACAGTAGCCTGTGTAGTACAGAACTCGTTTGTCTGGCCAGAACACTACATATATTAAACTTGAATTGCTTGACTGGCCAGAACAAATGGTTCATCGATTCTAAGCTTACGTTTGGTGTTGATAGCAATAATATCGTGCCTATCCTTCTTGTAACCAACATCTTTTCGAGTTGTGTCATACATGAACCTATTGGTTGCCTATGTACCCGAGCAGTCGAGATCAAAGTCCACGTAGTTCGATCAACCTGGATATGTTTTTTAGAAATATAATCACATTCTAGCGATATGTGTTTAGGAATTAATTTTTTTTTTCTTGAATCATTTTTTTATCTTTTGAAATTATGATTTGGGTAATTACTAGACTGGCTGGTTGGAAGGCGAGTAGCATGTCTTTGGCAGGGCGGATCACGTTAGCTCAGGCTGTTTTATCATCCCTTCCAGCGTATACTATGCAGACGACCCTCCTTCCGGCAAGCATTTGGGGATACATTGATAGAAAGATACGGGCCTTTGTATGGGGAAGCACAGAGGCAGGGAGGAAGGTACACCTTGTGGATTGGAAGACAGTGTGTAGGCCGAAGGAGGAGGGAGGGCTGGGTCTTCGAAGTGCAGAGAGAATGAATGAGGCCTTCATGCTGAAAATCTTATGGAGGCTGATGACGGAGACGGAGAGCCTATGGGTTCGGGTGATTAGAGCAAAATACATGAAGCAGTCTGCGGAAGGTTTCGTTCCACGAAAGACGGGAAGGATCTCGAACCTGTGGAGGGGTGTGTTACGAGTGATGCATTTGATCCCGGAAGCCATTATGTGGACGGTGCAAAGTGGAGGGCAAACGCTATTTTGGCATGACCGTTGGTTGCAGGATGGTCCCCCACTGGCAGAGTATGTAGGTGAACTACCGGAAGAGGCGAGCAACTTGAGAGTGGCGGAACTGAGCCTCAATGGGGAGTGGAATACAGATTATTTGAGGGCTTTGTTACCAGAGAGTGTGGTGAGCCAAATTCAGCTTCACCCAGTCCCCAGCGGAGTAGCTCAGGACATCCCTATTTGGAGGCTTTCACCAAACGGTGAGTTTAGCCTGAAGACGGCTTACGAGTTGACGGACGAGGAAGAGAGACCGGGAAGCAGTCACCCAGTGTGGCGTGCGGTTTGGCGGATCCCGGCTACACAGAGAGTTAGAGCCTTTTTCTGGCTGTTCGTGCGGGATAGGCTGCTTACTAATGGTGAACGCGCACGTAGACATTTGAGCTCGTCGAAGACGTGTCCGATTTGCGACTTTGAGGAGGAGTGTGCACTCCATGTGGTGCGCGACTGTGCTCTGGCTAGAGCTATTTGGGCAGAGCTACTTGGGGACGAGCCAGATGAGGTGTTCTTCCAGCGAGATAGAGCTAAGTGGGCGCTTCACTATATTATGGGGCGAAGCAAGTTTGTCAACCCCACTCTATTTGCCATTACCTGCTGGTTACTATGGAAGAATAGGAATAAGCATGTCTTTGAGAATGTTTTACAGGCCCCGGAAGTGATAAGGAGGCAGGCGGCGATGTTAACCCAGCGTATCGAGACAGCAACGACGGCGCAGGTGCTGGGGAATGAGGCCCCGGCGTGTAGAAGCAGACAAGATATTAAATGGGAATTCCCTCCGCAAGGCTGGGCCGCGCTGAACTCGGATGGATCGGTGGTAAACGGGCGAGCTGCGGCGGGAGGGGTGATCAGGGATGAGCAAGGGCGGCTAATAAGGGCGTTTTCTATGAAGCTGGGCGAGGTCTCTATTACGAGAGCGGAGCTGGAAGGAGTAGTGAAGGGGTTACAGATCGCGTGGCACGAGGGCCTGAGGAGCATAATAGTTCAAACGGATTCACAAACTGTCATCAAACTCATTAAGGAAGCCGGCAACCGGCATCCCCATTTCATTTTGGTGCAGGAGGCTCGCCGGCTGTTGGCTCTTGATTGGCAGGTTGAGCTGCGTCACGTGTACAGAGAAAGCAACTTCGTTGCCGACTACCTGGCCTCGGCAGGTCACAGGATCCAGCAGGGGCTCCATTTCTATGATGATCCGGATCCATTGCTTAATTATTGGCTGTTTTACGATTTGGTTGGGGTAGAAACTCCCCGGATGATTGTTATTTAACGGTTGGGGTGCCCGTCAAACCCCGTGCTTTTACCAAAAAAAAAAAAAAAAACTAATTAATTTTGAGGGAAACTTAACACAAGAGCATTATACTTACGCAATTTCTCACAAGGATATATAATCCTTCCAAGCAAAAATGAAAATTACTCTACGTAGTGGTAATTATGGATTGATTGGCTTATGTATATTATATATATGTGTTTATAGTTTCTGTACTTATCATTGTATTTTTTTGTCTAAACGTGTATGTATACAGTATATAGTTGTCATTGTTGTGAATATTCTCAAAGTCAAACCTGTACATAGCGCTTTTTGCACCGCTTTTTATAACCCTGTCTTATATAAAGAAGAAAAAAAACGATGGAGAGAGTTAGCCAAACCCTAACCGCTAGCAGCCACTCCCTCCTCCTCTTCCCCGCCGCTTCATCTTCCCCAACAGTACAATAATAAACCTCGCTCCCACTTTTAATTCTTCATCTTCCTCCGCCGCTTCAGCGTCTATCTATTTTCCCAGTCCATCTCTTTGTTCCTTCAAGCTATGGCGGGTTCCAGTCCTTCCCCTCGTCTTGCGCGACTTTCCTCTTCTTGTCTTTTTTCTTCTACAAACACAGCTGAACGCTGACGACTTGCTATCTTCGATTTTTGCTCCGATCATGGGTTCCTCCCCACCTTCCACCGTCTTCTCAATCTTTCCTCTTACTGCTGGACTGGATTTTTCATTCATCAACAAAAGATTCTAGATTTACTGGGTTTTTTCTTCCTTCGCAGGCAACGTATGTGAGATCGTGGAATGTGGGAGAGGCCAGTGCAAGCTGCTGATAAACTCCACCATCCCTCCTTACCAATGTAAATGCGACGCCGGGTGGAAGCAGGCACGACCCGACGCTATGGACGACATCACTTTCCTCAATTTGCTCCACTGCGTTGTCCCCAACCGTCAGCTCCCTGCAACCCTTCCTTTCTTTCCGAATCAAATGTTACAACCCAACTGCTCAATTAGGAAATAAATAAGGCGTTTTGGTTGATCACTTCAAAACGCAGGTTCCATGGATTTTCCGTGCAATAAGCCAGCAGAGGCACCGGTTCAAGACAAGACCGGGCAGTCCAATACCACACTTCTCGACCGTACGAATTAACCACAAACTCTTAATTCTGTGGAACTGCAAAGCTTTTCACATATTCACACTCGTGGGCTTTAAGGAGTTTGTTTTTGTTTATTGCAGCATGTAACTCAGCAGATTGTGGAGGATGAGATGGGATGGATCCTTGGGAATTAGAGGGACAGAGGAAAAGGGGAAGTAGAAGTAGTGGCGGATTCAGAAAATTTTCACAGGGTGTCCTCTTCAAAAATTAATTTTAATTAAATAATTCATATATTAAAAATATCATACTTGTATAAATTTTTTTATTAAAATTCATGATGTGTTTTCATATTTTGAAAAAATAATATACAATAAACTCCGTGTCTGCACTGTTCAAAAAAAAAATCTACATATCCTACTAGACAATACTTCACTAACTTATCACATATTCGATTTCTAACCTTGTTCTTAATGTAGCTCAAAGTAGAAAAGACTCTTTCAACACTTGCCGTGTAACCATAAAATCAATTCAAAATTAAGGGTAGCGTGTACGTAGTTTAATTATTATGTATTGAAAATAGTTGGGGATAAAGAAATAGCATTTTACTGTTGCATGATGTTTTAAATAGAATAACAAATGAGTAGCAACATAATTAGAATATGTTTGATAATAGTAGTGTCCTATGTTGGAATAACACAGACTACCACTTATATTTTGTTAATCATAAGCAAACTATTATCGAGTGTAGGATAATCATTTTTTCAAATGTTAGGGTGTCCCGGATTACCAATTATATTTTGTATACCCATACGAAACTACTATCGGAGGTTGGATAATCATTTGCCCAAATTTTAGGGGTGTCCCGGGACACCCCTAGAGGTCCATGTATCCGCCCCTGAGTAGAAGAAGAGAGAGATAGAGACGGTGAAATGTGGGAGATGGGTGTGAGGAGAGAGAGAAAAATTTGTGGGGTCATAACAAAAAGTGTAATCGGGGTCAAAAAATGAAATATGGCACGCTATTTGCTATAAATGTATATAAATATAATTTCACTATTAACGATAAGGAAACGTAAATAGTAAATACAATTTCTCTAACGACATGTTGGAAATGCTTTTTTTTACGATAAATAGTTGTCCTCAGTAAATATATTTTCTCCGACGATATGTTGGAAAAGATCTTTTTTGACGATGAACAGTTGTCCTCGGAAATACTAATTTCTCCGACGACAAGTTGGAAAAAACTTAGTTTTAACAAAAATTGGTTGGCGTCAGTAAAAATAATATTTCTGACTATTCGTCACGAATAATCCATTATTGACGCACAAACAACTCACAAATGTACGTACAATGTATAAAAAATAAAAATCGGCCTCAATTTCTGGTCACAAATAATTATTTTCGACAAATTGAAGAGGTTATTATAACTAGTATTTTTTACGACTAGTCAGAACTTCTTTATTACTTACAAAAATAAATCGTCAAAAATAAATAAATTTGACGTCGAAACAAAAATTCGTAAAATTCATCCGTCATGAGTGATTTCATTTGTGACGTCACTTATTTTAATTACTAACAAGTTTATGCCATCAATAATAAATTTTTTTGAACGACTGGTCAGTAATATTTTATTAGCAACGGGACAATTTCTGATGACGTCCGACGAACTTAGGTCGTCGAAAAAGGTCTTTTTTCGATGCAATTTTATCAGGTTCGACGAAAAACGTGTCGTCGGTAATGATTGTCTTTTCTGTAGTGGATCGTGGAATGGACGTTTATATCGTGCTTTTAGGGCAGTAATTTTCCCTAGTCTAGTTTCTGTATTCCACGACCGGGGATTTATATGGGAAGACAGTAGATTTTTGTCGAGGACCCAATTCCACGACCGTGGATTCTGGTCGTGGATTTCAACATAGAGGCTACTAAGTTGAAACTCAGGACTTTGGCCACATATCCGGTTTTCTAAGTTCTGAAATAGCATGAGAGAACCCCTAGAGAGATAAAGTGACAAAGAACAACCTTGGTAAGTGATTGGAGCAATCTAAGGACATTCAAGCTCGATCTTCCACCCTCGAAGTACAAATTATCAACTAGGAGCAGAATCTCATCCCTCACATGATGATTTCTCCTTCAAGCCTTGTGTTTTCTCTTCTCTCCATGGAGTAAACTCTCTTCTCATCTGGGTATAAAGAACCCTAATTGTGTATGTTAAGAATGGTTGTATAAGCCCGATTTTGTGGATAATTGATTTGATATATTCAATTGAGGCATTATTCAGAATTGCATGAGTCCTGATCAAATTCTTGTAATTCCTGCTTTAATCTAGAATGATAATCTCTGCTTATCTTACATGATGATTTGTTTATTCGAACATTCACATTGAATCTTATTTTTGTGAGGTAAATATCTAGGTCATTGAACAACTTTACTTTGACATTGCTTGTAGATTCTTGTTTAATCCATTACCTTTCTTTCTGAAGGATTATTTGTATAACTAAACAAGAATTCAGACTTACAACTCTCATCTTCACTCACTAATTAATCTAGCCCATCAACCCTTTGTAATGCTTATGATGTCACTTAGTAGTCCCAACGTGGCGAAGTCTGGTGAATGACCACGTTGGAGTCCTAGTCCTAGTTAGTTTGTCTTTCCTTGTTTGTCAAGCCTTATCATTGTGTTGTACGAAGGAAACCCTAACTAGTTCTGTATATAAAGTTAAGCTACCAACATGTGGAGCTAATTAAGTCTCGTCGCAGTCAATAATAAAACAATCAAGCATAGAGCTCATTCGAGCTCTCCGTGGATTAGTCCTGTTCATATCGAACAGGGATACCACGTAAAATCTCCGTGTTGTGCTTTTTTCAATTCCACATTATTGAATTCTTTATGGTATTAGAGCGCGATCCATACCTGGATTAAGCGTTCGTCTTAGCAGCTCTTGCTCTTCGCATCGTCTGGAAGTTCGTCCTAGCAGTCCAGTCATGGGTGACGAATTAAACCCCACCAGGGAAGAGATGAAGCATGTTGTTGGCGATGATAGTGATGTTATCGGCCCTACTTCGCCCCTGTTCCTGCATCCGTCTGATGCTCGAAGTCAAGTTTTCGTTGAGGATCTTCTCACCGATATCAATGATGGTGAGTAGTCTGCAAAGATGTCCAACACCATTATCGCTAAGAGAAAATTCGGATTTGTTCTTGGTACTGTCCCTCGCTGCCTCCGAAGAACATCTTAATTCTTGGACCAGATGCAACGCTATGGTGGTAGGCTGGCTTCGTTAAGCCATCTCCAGAGAAATTCGCAGCAGCTTGAGTACAGGGTTTACCGCTAAACAAATTTGGGATGAGCTTCAGGAACGATTTAGGACATAAACTCTTCCCTTCAAGAATAAGATTCGTTGTCAGATTACTAACCTGCGCCAAGATCGGTCTAGTGTCTCTGCATTTTATGCCAAACTCTGTTGGGAATGAATAGCTTTGAAAGCTATATTGAATTAATTATCCAATATTCTTTCTAGATACGAAATTAAGATGGATAATTCAAAAAAAGAATATTATGGAGATAATTGGGATTAATTATCTTAATATAATATATTTTAATTATGGGAGTAATTATCTTCCTAATTAAAATGTGGCTTATTCCCAAAGAAAGAGGGAATATTCTAGGTTTTCTGCTCCTATAAATAGCAGACCCATAGACCCGAGAAAGCAGAATCACGAGAGAGAGTGAGATTCAGAGAGCTCCGGTTTTCGCACAAAACCGCCGAGCAAATTTAATGAGTGGCTGTTTTATCCTGGAGGCGACCGGTTGATAGTCTGTTATGCGAATAACGAGACAGTGCCACGAACGTCTTAAAGAGAGCGACCTAGTCCGCGACTCAGCCAGATCGGTAACCTAATTTTTCATGTTCGATTTATAACAATTTTAAGACATTTGGTTGCTGTCGTGTGTACCGAACAGGTTGATTGGCGGATCTGGTTTCAGTTAGTCGCAAAGTGGTAGCGATGTGCTTGCCCTACAATTCGATGCCCTCAGTACCGCTCCCTTGGTTGTCTCATTCAATGGCTTCTGTAGACTTCGATTAATTATTCTGAGGGGGCATTAGCTTCCTCGACAACGTTATTATTGTTGTGCTTGTTGTTATTATTGTAATAATAAAGAGGAGGAAAGCCATCGAAAGGCTCATCTCCGTACAGCAGGCCGAGCGCCATTGGGAAGGAGAAGCAGCGAGATGGGTTCCTTGATCTCGCCACTAGCCAGCGGATTGATTCTTCGTATCCCGTTACAAAGGAAAAGGTGCTGGAGTGCGGGGAAGAAGAACAGGGCATGAACCCTGTAATTTGCAGCGCGTGCATGATTGCAATCAGTAGATTTGCTGTGTCAATATTTCCCTCTTTTAACTTTTATGATTTTTGATTAATTCTTTTATTTTTAGGGATCACAACGTTTTCCGGGGCAAATGTTAAAAGCTATCATTTGAATTATATTCATGATATAATTCTTTTGTTCTTAGGGATCACAACGTTATGTTAAAAGCTATCATTTGAATTATATTCATGATATAATTGGATTGTGTAGTAACCCTTATGGAGCAAATAGTGGGGCTGGGGCACGAACAAGGGATTGGTCTAGTGGTAATACCACTAGCCATGAACCTAGAGGTCCCAAGTTCGAGTCCATTCAGCAGTACCTAATAACAAAAAAGTAACCTATATCACACTTATCTAAAAAATAAAAAATACTCGAAGTAACCTGTAACACCCTAGCTCGGCGGAGCAATACTTTTACCAAAATGCCCTTGAGTAGTCTAAATAACTCCAAATGAAAAGAATAATGCAAATCACATCAAACCGCCGTAAGAAAATCCCTTTTTAACCAAATCATAAATGAGCATCAGTCTCAAGTCTACTAATAAAAGTACATGAGTTCGCTTGGGGATCTTCGACGATCACTAACCCTTGTGAAGATGACATCTCTAGCAGCAGCTTCCTTCTAACGAGTGGTCCAGTTGCTTCTGCCTCCTTGCAGCTCCTGAGTGCGGGCGTGGGGTCAGTCCTAGTCCTATTATCATCCCTCAAATACAAAAGAACCATGCACATGCAATGCTCTTATAACTAATTAAAATGCAAAGTTTATTCGAAAAGAAGTTTGATATTACTGCTTACATATTTTATCTTACAATGGGGCCCCGCACTCCACTTAGCTAGCGCAACCGTCCGGTAAACTTGTCATAACATATCTTTACATGACTACCCTCACAATGGGGAGCTTTAACGTGTAAGCTGTGCCTATCTAAGGCAAAACACCCACACAATAGGGATCATGCGCCTATCTGAGGCGAAACACCCACACAATGGGGATCATGCGCCTATCTAAGGCGAAACACC